GTTGTCACATCGTTCCCCTCTTCCCATGGCTTGCCCTGCACATCACCGCTGCACCACGTTTGTTGTCCTTGGGCGCAGACGGGCGTGCGTTCAGTTATGCTTTTGATTTAACGTGGATGTCTGTTCCAGAAGGACAAGCAGGACAGTTCGGGCAGTTTGGAAGCTGTCGGCGACCCCATCCCGCAGCCAATGCCGTTTCCACCCACTGCTGTACGACCAGGCTCCCCTAAACTAGACCCTTCAGAAGTCTACCTGAAGTCTAAGACGATGTATGAGGACAAACGTGAGTATTTCAACTTCAGCCTGGAAATACTCGGTGAGGAAGGAATTTTTTCTGTGTTGTGTGTGTGGTAAAACTCCTGTGACTTTGAAATTGAGTTTGTTAACCTGTAGATGAAATGTTTCAAGAAATGTGTAATTCATACAGGAATTAGAAAACCGCGGAGCTCCTTTTCTAAAAAAAGATGCAGTGTGCTGCAAGCGTATTTATGGTAAACCAGTTAATCGCAGGAGGGGTCTCAAGGATGAACTAGTTCTGAAGTAAACCTGACCGTTCCAGAGTGTGTAGGGGTAGCTCTGCGCTGCCTTAGGGGGCGGCGTTCATCCCAGCCCACCATACGAACGCAGCTGTGACCTCTCCTTTGGTGTTCGTCCATCTGTCCTTTCCTTGAAAATTAACTTTCCCAGTTCGGAACGGGAGCGTCACTGAAGATTTGGCTGAATTATGTACTGTATTCCTGGTGACTGGGATCTGTCGATAAGAAGAGTCGGAGTGCACCGCAAAAGCGTAATCTTTCCATTAGCAAAAATAGCTCCTAACATGTTTTGAACCTCTGCTTTGTCTTAGCTCCAAACACAAGAGATTTGGATGTTTTCCTGCGAAAGCAAGAGTCAGGCTTTGGTTTCCGCGTGCTTGGAGGGGACGGACCAGATCAGCCCGTAAGTGAAACCATTCACGGCTGCCTGCGTTTTATCTCAGCGTTCCTGCTGGAGTGACTCCTGCCCTGTCATCCTCATTTCCCTCTCATCCTAAGCAGTTCAGTGATGGCAGAAGCGGTAATTCAGTGCCTGCCTTTCAAACAAGAGTAGATTCAGATTACCTTTCTAGTTTCCCCTTTGTGGCTGACTTCAGTCTGCGGGGCTCCCGTGCCCTCTGCGCTCTCGAGCCTGTCTGCAGCGGTTGTCTCTGTCAGGCTGGTGATTCCAGTGGTGTTCCCGTAGCGGTTGCTGTGTCTCGGGAGCACTCGAAAGGGCAGCGCTGATGCTCTGTGTGCTGTGCATCGGCACACCCTGGGGAGCAGGGGAGTAGAGGGAAGCTGCTGCTTCCCCTGCAAAAACTCTGCCAGGCCATTCTTTTGAATGCAGTCCAGTGAAACGTGGCGGGATTTGGGATAGGACAGTCAGATAATCTACAGAAATAGCCTTCCCCAAAGCCCTCCTCTGTCTGGATTCACCGGGTCCCAACCAGCACGTGTCGTGCCGAGCCCGTGTTCTGCTGTGTGAACCCCTGACTCTCCTCTGCCGACAGATTTATATTGGAGCCATAATCCCACTGGGAGCAGCGGAAAAAGACGGGAGGCTGCGAGCTGCGGACGAGCTGATGTGCATTGACGGCGTCCCTGTTAAAGGGAAGTCGCACAAACAAGTTTTGGACCTAATGACAAGCGCGGCACGGAACGGGCAGGTGCTGCTCACAGTCCGGAGGAAGATCGTCTTTGGCGGTACGTGTCCGCAGCGGGTGCTGCGGGGTCTGGCTGAGGGAACACGCTGGTGTGTAACTCGGCTAAAGCTGCCCTGAACCGCAGCAGTTGCTGCACTAGAGCAGTGGGCAGCAGGCCTTCCCGGCATGCCGGTGCCCAGCTGTGCCAGACTCGGGGCCTTGGGATGCTTTGTCCTGCAGCTGATTTCTGGTTGACCCAAATTGTATCATTAATAAACTCCCCCCGTGCTTTCCCAGGCAGACAGCGCTTCCTCGTGATACGGAGATGTCCGGTTGCTGTAGCAGTTTTCCTTATGTATTGTTTGTCTGTCACCTGCAAGGGGAGAAGCAGCCAGAGGAGGAGGAGTCGCAGCCTGTCCTGACGCAGAACGGCTCGCCCCGACTGAATCGGGTAGAGTTTGCAAACCAGCAGTGCCCAGAGGGCTACGATGTCCGTCTGCAGCGCAAGGAGAACGAGGGATTCGGCTTCGTCATCCTCACCTCGAAGAACAAACCCCCTCCTGGAGGTAAGTGCCGCTGCTCAAGCTTCTCATCTGGTTCCAGAGAGACACAGTGATGGCTTGGAGGTGTCTCTTTCTGTCGAGCATCAGACACTTCCTTCTGGTTTTCCACTTCTTTTCCCTGCACAATAAAAAACCAGCAGGAGCACAGAATAAGCTGCTTCCAAATACCATTGTGCTGCGTGCTTATATAAGAGCCGTGTGTAGCACGATGCAGTCCGGGCTCAGACGGGACCTTTGCAAGAGTGGCCAATGGTCCCTCTGGAAGCGCCCAGCGCGGTAGTCCCCGCAGCAGCAGCGGTCCCTGCCGGAGCTGGTCCCCACAGCCGTGCTGGTCCCCACCGGAGCTGCCCACTGCCGTCAGGTTCCCGTGGCGTTGGCAGCGATCCGTCACCCTCCGGTGCGTGATGCAGGTGACTCTGTCCAGTGCCAGGGTGGCCGTGGGTTGACGGTGTGTTGTCTGCTCAGTCGGACGTGAATAAAGTACTCCAGGCAGAACTACCCTGCCGCGCGTCGTGTTGTGTGCCAGCTGCCCTACAGACAGCAGCTGTGTCTGAGCGTCTGCTGCGAGTCCCCGTTTGGTACTGGAACTGAAAGTAGACGACAGCCGGAACCGATTCCAGTGCTGGAAAGCTGAGCCCTGTGGTTCGGGCTGTTTCTGACACACAGGCAAAGAGATGCTGGGGCATCCACAGGCTGCGCTGGGCAGAACTTTCCTGTCTGGCTCAGCACGAAGCCGCTGTGTTCGTCCAGAGCCAGGATGTGTTGAACCATGATCGGCCACGGAGCCCGCAGCCCTGCAGCGCTTTCCTCCCCGCAGCTGGCTCTTAGGTTTACGTAATACTTAAAAAAGCAGTCTATTAAGGGAAGTGTAATTACAATTTAAACCCATGGTAGATGCTAGAAGGCATCAATGTCTTTTCCTTCGCAGTAACTTCTGCGTGTGCTAGCTCATTAAAACAATCCATGATGGCTTTTTAATCTTGGGTGGCTGATGGCGCTGTGAAAGCGTTCCAGGTCTGCTGTCACGGCTCTGAGAAGCCGGCTGGTAATCCTGACAGGCACGTAATGCTCCTCAGCTCCGCGGTCCCTCAGAGGAAAGCGTGTCTGGGAGAGCAGCAGCTACAGAAAACGGGTATCCATCGAACCCACTTCGGCTTTGGGGGTGCCAGCAGGCTGCTGCGTGGGGTCCAGGCAGAGCAGTTGTGAAGCATGCGGAGGTCAGGCTGGAGAGGAAATGGGTTACGACAGGGCGGTGCTGCGGTGCCTGCGCAGGAGAGCCCTGATGAGGGATTTGGGAAGGGCGGGAGCCAATCTTGCTCTGCTTTCGGGCACCCAGACGAACGAAGGGCTGTTGGAGATGCATGGGAAGACACGCGGACTGATGCGCTTTGATGTACCGCTGCTCCGCTCCGCGGGGCACGCAGGCAGCTCCACGCGCTGCTTTCGCCCCAGGTTCTGGGAGGCATCTCCCCGGCTGCCGAGTGCCATCTGCAGTGCTGACGCTGGCGTCAGCAAACCGTAAACCCGGACCTCTGCCCCGGCACCGGCACAGCTCGCGGCGGAGAGGGCGTGGGAGCCAGAGCGGGGCTCTCCCGAGAGGAGCCGGTGGAAGCGCTGTGCTGGAGTGGAGCATCCCTCTCTCCTCATGCCTTTTTAGTTCTGCTCTTTTTTCCTTCTGCTTGTGGTGAAATTCCCCCTTTTCCCTGTTCTGTCGTTCCTGGCCCTGTTGCTTTGGCTCTGGAGGAGTGTGTCCGCAGAGCAGAGTGTCACTACGGGGTGACCGAGGCAGGAGAGCTGGCTGGCACGCGGGGTGGTTATTGCAGCTGCACGTTCATCTCGGGGAGCAGGGGCAGGGACCAGGTCGGCGTGGAGCTGCTCCGGCCCGCCTTGCTGGAGGGTCGCTGCCGAGGGTTCGCCAGGTGACGGAGTCACCCTCTGGCAGGAGGAGTCTGGTTTCATTTTGAAGGGTATTTGAGACTTAACTCCTCCTGCGTGCAGCCACGGATCAACCTGTGCATCCAGGTTTGTCGTGACTGTGGCAAACCGGATGTCCATAACTTTCTCAGTCCACACAGCACTCCAGGTTTTCCCCTGGATAACAGTACGAGTGGCAAAACGAGCTGCTCCGGCACCTTCCCGGGACACACGGTCCTACTCGTCCCTTGGCAGATGTCCCCCTTGAGGCACAGCTCCTGGCAGGCCGTGCTGTCGGGTTGGCGCTTCCATTCGCTCTCCGGAAGCGTGTGTCAGTGTTGGCAGGTTTTCCTTCTGCTGGCAGTGCCGCCCTTGGAGCGGGAGCCTTGGGGTGGCCGCCTGGTGCTTATCTGATCCTTCCGCATTTTCCTAGTGATTCCTCACAAGATCGGGCGAGTTATAGATGGGAGCCCAGCCGACCAGTGCGGGAAGCTGAAAGTGGGAGACCGCATCTCGGCAGTGAACGGCCAGTCCATCGTGGAGCTCTCGCACGACAGCATCGTGCAGCTGATCAAGGACGCGGGCAACGCGGTGACGCTGACCGTCGTGGCGGAGGAAGGTAAGGGAGGGGGCCTGGGTGGGTCCTGCCACACTGCTGAAGTCTGAGGTTTGTAACTGCTGAGGTTAATTCACGTGGAGTGGAGGGTTGTACAAGGAGAGAGAGTGAAGGTCGTCCGTTTGCTCTGGAAGGGCTGAAGGCAGGGGACAGAGAGAGACGGCCGACAGGATGGTTACGCTGAACGCTGAGGTGCGGGTGTTAACGGCACGACGCAGGGTGAGCGAAATTCTCGTGGCTTCTCACGTGGGGGAGACTGCTGCTCGCCTGGGACCGGGTCCTTTCAGACCTTGTGCTCTTCAAACGAAGAGGAGCGACCTCTCCTGCAGAGCTACGGCAGGCACGGGGTGACGCTCGGAGTCTCCTCGCCCCAGACAGTGCTGCTGTGGCCATGTTAAAATCCACTCCCTGCCCGATGCTGCGCCCCGGCGTAAAACAGAGCGGCCTGGAGAAATGGTCACCTCCACCGTGAAACCCTCGCTCGGGGTTTTCCGAGCTGCTGGCAAACTCTTCACGCGCAACGGCCGCGTCAGCCCGGCCGCACAGAGTACCCGTGACTGCAGAGGGGCCCGTCTCTGGAGACCCTGTTTTTAATGCCAGCTCCCACGCCAGGCTGCATTCGACGCAGCATTGTTTCTACGCCAGCAGTTCGCTGTAAATATGTAAAATCCAATCATTTGAAGGAAAAAGCTGTTTTCCAACCCTGCTTACCACTGCATGTTTCTGCATTGCTGCTTGTGGCTTTAATTAAACTCGCTATCGTTGTTTTCCCAGGCAGCTGGCTTTCTTTGCCTTTTAAATAATAAATACCTAAAGCCAGAATGCGAATAAAGCCAACAGATGATCCTCGAATTTCACATTCATTGCAAATATTTAACATGCTGTCTCGGCCTGTAATACCGAATTTCAAAGACTTAATTTTCCTTTTTGCTAGTGTTTGAGGCAGAGGCACTTATCAATCGTTATTTTTCTGTTAAGGCTTTAATTGTTTAATCTAATTCATTCCGGTTTGAAGGGACAAACCTCAAAGCAGCTGCCCAGGGCAGTGTTTGTAATGCAGCTGGGGTGGAGTTGGTCACATTAGATCTGTTCCTCTGTGGCTCCTAATCAGCTTTGTTCTCACAGTAAGCTTTCTGAACACACTTCTGCACCTGATGTGTGCGTGGCCTTACCTGGGTTCTCTGTAAGAACCTTTCCCACCTCCCTTGGTCACGGATTTGGAGCCAAACTGTGGAGAGAAAACAAGGACCTGAGGAGAACCAATGCGGAGAAGGGGAATAAGTCAGTGGCGGGTGCTAAAACTGCACTGAGGTGGAAAAGGTGTGGCCTAGCGGAGCAGGACTTGGTGTGTTTTGGATGTGAAGGATTCTGGGAAGTGAGGGAGAGAAGCTCACCCTGTTGCATTGAAATGGGACTGTGTCACCGCTCCAGAATTCCAAGTGATGTGGGTGGAGCAGCGCTGGTCAGCTCTGAGCACAACCCTCGGCAGCAGGCTCTGGGACAGTGGCTGTGACTTCGGGAGGGCCCCAGGCCTTTCCCGCTGGGCTGCAGGGAGAGCGGAGCAGAGGGAGACGGTCCGCACCGAGGGTGACACCGGGGACGGCGCGGGACGAAGAGCACAAGGCCATTCTGCCAGAAGCGGTTCCGCTCACGAACCATAAACCCTCGTGGAGTTCGTGCTCCCCAGCGCATCATCCTCAGTGCTGCCCACCGGGACTGGCAGCCAAAATACGCCGTGGGCCCCCTCCCGCCCCTCCCAGCCTCCACAGGGGTGCGATCCCTGCTTTTCATAGGAGTAGACCAATTCCCTCCGTGGGCCAGAGGATGTTCTTTAACATTTTCCACCAGAGCAGGAGCCTGTCAGCTCTTGTCACGTCGGAGCTGGAAACGAGGAGCGGGCTGAAGGCCGGGGAATTTGCGCACAGATGGCATTTTCCTTCCCTGTGCTTCTGAATTAAACCTCTGAGCGTAAACCAGGAGTAAAAGCTGACATTTTGTCTCTAGAGGAAAACCTCGTTAAGGCACGTTCCCGTAACGGCAGCGGGTGAGGGACCCGGAGGTCTGGCGTCCCGGAGAAGCTCAGTCCGACGACGTGCGGCGCGCTCCCTTCCCTTCGGATGCGCGAGCGCTCCGTCTGCGTCTCAGGGGGGTTTGTTCCTCGCCGAGAAGCGCCGTCGTGTCGTGCACCTGACGGGACTGGGACAGCGCAGGGGTTGGCGCTGGGCGTTTCATTCTAAGGACAAGGAGTTGGTTCGTTTGTGGCTGAGCACGGGAGTTCATCCTGGGCCACTGTTTGCCCGTTCAGGCTCCAGCTGAGCAGCAGAGACGAGGGTTCATGGACGCACGTTTGTGACCTGAAACGAGTCTGTTCCTAAATGCCCTGGATTTGTCGTGAAGTGCACAGTGTTTTGTTGGAAGGGAAAACAATCCTCAGCTGTTGTAAAGGATTGTACTGGAACGTTGGTTACACCTTGGGTTGCACTGTGTCTCTGTGTCTCTGGGAGAAGGTGAAGCACTGGGATTCTGGCTGATGACCCGTCGGTGAACTGGTCCCTCCGGTGTGCTGCGGGACGGGTCCCGAACCTGCCTGCGCCTGGCCGGTAGCAAACGCCTCGCTGGGCCTTAAGGGGGGGGACAGTTTCCCTCTGTCATTGAGGTCTTCACCTCGGAGTCCTCGTTGCCCCTGCAGAGCCTCATTCTCCTTTTCCTTTAAAGAGGAAAACGTCCCCAAATGGACTGTTCTTCATCTCTTACAAAATGTTACGGTTTGTGTCGCATGGAGACAGGCAAACCGCTTCTGTTCACGTCTGCTGCGGTTAAAGCTGTGGTGGTTTTCTGAGGAAAAGCAGCGTAGGTAAGAAATTTGCTAGGAATTTATGGCATCTGCACTTGGGTTCCTGGCTTACGGCATGAGACCTCGGAAAACCCTTTGCTGCGGTGACTCAGCCGCGGTGCTGTGGCCCCAGGACGAGTGCGGAGGGCGGTCCCACGGCCGCGTGCCCGGCGTTGTGCTGGGCAACTTCCCTGACTGTCGCTTTCTTTGGATTCCTCAGAGCACCGGGGCCCTCCGTCAGGAACGAACTCCGCCAGGCAGAGTCCCGCCCCGCAGCACCGAGCGCTGGGGCCAGCACAACTCAACCCTTCCGGCGCAGACAGGTACGTGCCCTGGGGTTTGGCAGAGGAGCGGGAACAGCTGGAAAAGCCTGGCCAGCGGGACTGCGGATGCACAGCTAACAGCCGCGTCCTTTTGCCTCCGTGCAGGGGAGCTACGGAAGGCGAAGCTGGAAAAGAAGCTCCAAACAGTTACCGGCTCTCCTGGCCCGAGCATAAGCACTTGGCACAGTCCGATGCTGGCGTCGCTTCCGTCGCTGGCAGCCGACATTCCCAGGTACCAGTGTCCCAGGTACAGGTGACCATGCAGAGGGCGTGGGGACGTGCGAAACCCTCGTCGAGACGCTGCAGTGGCAGCGTGTTCAAAGGCAGAACAATAAAACCCTTCCCTGGCAGGCGTGGGGAGAAAAGCTGCCATGAAAATCCACGGAATGCATTCTCTAACGTTCAAAATTCCCGTATCTCCTGAGCGTAGCTGGATGCTCCTTGTAACTGTGAAGGAGACAGTGAGTGCCTGCGCTGGGGTCAGCACAGACGCCCCCCGCCCAGCTTCCCACAGAAATTCACCCATAGCTAGGACTCGGGAGGACATGATTCCGTATGTTTAGGCTGGGAATGGAAGCGTTACACCTCCTCGTAGGCGAGTGGTGGTGAAGGCGGGTTAGTCACGGGCTGCACGCCTCAAGCACGGAAGCGTGGGAAGCATTTTCCCAGGAGAACAACGTTTGAACCTGCCCGCAGGCTCTCACCCTCTTCTCTGATTCCCGCAGAGTCCCAGCTGTTTCCTCGTGGAGTTGGAAAGGGGCCCTCGAGGATTTGGATTCAGCCTTCGAGGAGGGAAGGAGTACAACATGGGCTTGTTCATCCTCCGGCTTGCGGAAGAGGGGCCGGCAGTCAAGGATGGGAGAGTGCACGTGAGTGTCCCGCTGCTCAGGTCGGCTTTTGGCACGAGGCTCAGCCCCCGCAGGGCTGGCTCCGGCACCGTGGTGCTGGGGCTCCGCTGGGTGGGAAACTGAGCTTTGGTAGCTTCGTTACCCTAACTCTACGGTAACGAGCTGCTTTCCCCTCCTGCTCGGGACACTGATGAGCGCCGTGTTTAGCACGGGTCTGATGGCTGCGCTCCCAGCTCAGGGGCCTGTGCTCCCCCAGCCTGGGGCTGCGCTCCTCCGGCTCAGGGGCCTGCGCTCCCCCAGCCTGAGGTTGTCCACAGTTGTCACACACTCAGCGTCTCCTCGGCTGGACCACGGTGCCGGTTCTGGCTGCGCTTCCAAGCGGTGAAGGGGGGGGTCTCACCTCACCCAGTTAACAGCCACCGAGCGTGATGGGAGGTGCTGTCCTGCCCCCTGAGCAGGTAGCCCGCTAGCCAGTGGCCTCCTCGGCAGAGGCAGTTGATTTGGCAAATCCCAGGCTCTTTAACTGCTGATCCTGTGCGCCAGTGACATCCTTCGGCCGGGCCCTGTATTGCGAAATAGGCTCCGGGCCCTCTTTGGGGGGATGTGGCTCTGGGCCCTCTTTGGGGGGATGCGGCTTCGGGCCCTTATTTGGGGGGATGCGGCTCCGGGCCCTGTTTAGGGGGGTGCTGTG